GTTTGTTTCTTTATAAGCAATTGCATTTTCCCGATATATTTTGACCTCTGTACTAGTTAGCTGAAGATACGCTTATTTGACAGTTTAATCATCATCATCCAGTCCATGTAGTGTGTGCTATCTCTCTGCTTCTCAAGAAATTTCTCAGTGATAAAGAGAGGTTTGTGGACATATAGACAGAGTTAAAAGGTAAAGAATGCCTGCACTGTTTTCCAAAAAAAAAATAAAAAATCAGATGAAACAATAACTTTGTTTACATACCTATTATTTCATTTGACTTTTTCAAGGAGAGGCTTATCAATCATACAGACACTAGAGTAACAAATCAGTCTCTGGTCTTCCGCAGATCTGTGTTGGATCAACTACTATTACAGATGTGGTGATAGCATTTCTTGATGTGTGACTGGGAAACAAACGGGAAAAGCTTAAAACTTCATAGCCAAATGTGAGTTGCACAGCAGGTAAGATCCCCTGGCTTCTGATGCCTCAGTGAAGTTGTTAGTGACATTTGTCATTGTGGAACCTGCCCTAAGCAATACTGCCAGAAGTGGGAAGACTAGAAATTATGATGAGGCATTCCTGCTGGGTAGTGCAGGGTAGAGCAGGGTAGAGAGTAGAAAAAGCCTTTCTGTAGTTCATACATGGGTCAATAGCTCACATAAAGTACAATCAGATGTGACTAATTTATTAGGCCCATGACTGAAGTGAATATGAAATACTTGCCATAGGTTGTGCTGTTCTGGAAGGCCAGCCTGCTCCTGTCTTTGGCTTCAATCATTTAAAAAGTTTAGGTCTTCTGAGCAAAAAGAATAATTATTTAAGAATAGTCTAGACAATTTTTTTTTACAAAATGTGACAGCTTTAAAAAAATTTCAGTGCTTGAAAAGAGCTAGTGAACATAGAAAATTCAGGCCTACCTTAGCTTTTGGAATGAAGGCATAATATTATCACTAATATAGTCAGTCTTACTTTTGAAATCTTGGCTTAAAACATAGCGTTTATTTCTCAGACATGCAAACATCTGGGGCAAATGCCCCAGAAACAAAAGTACATTTGCAGGGAAATATACTTTTAACTTTCAGTAGGTGATGTTACCTTCCTCAGAATGAGAAATGAAGTCCTTTCCATCACCACTGGTTCTACGGTAACTCCTGTTCCTGTGTCTTACAAATGGATAATGAGAAGTAAAGAACAAGCAGACCAAACCTATCAAGGCATATGGCAGTTTTCCAGCTGACTGAAATCAAGCCAGAAATGACATTTGAAGAAAAGAGTGTAATTAGGCCAGTCATCTGATTATAAAGCCAGAGTTTCACACTGAAGGTTCTTAGCAATGCTGGAGACTAAGTTGTCTGACACCTATTTACTAAGCTAAAAGGTAGTCCATAAATATAACCAGGAAATAAACCCTACATTTATTTTCATTTCAGTCTTTTTGTTTGTTTGTATTCTTAGAGGCTGCACACCAGCAGAGACTACTGCCATCTTCAACATATAAGCTATCTGTCCTTCACTTGCTGTGACCAACTGCGCCACCAAGACAGCAATTAATTCACTCTCTATTCATGACTTATCACTGGGTCTCCTGCAGAGAGAGAGCAGAAGCCTGTCACAAGGGACATGGGGATTTTCCTAGAGCTGGAACAAGAGCAAGAGCTTCAGACACTTATCGGCAATTCCTTGAAATCTAGCCAGATGCAGGGCCTGGCCCCAGTTTCATGAAGAGTTTCAGAAGGAAATAAATGAGGAAAGGAGAGGCAACACTGACCAGACTGGGGGCACACAGTCTCTCAGTTAGTTCTCAGATACGGCGGTGGAATGCACATTTGTTGCAATGAGGAAAAGATTTCCATCTGGATAAATGTGAGGCTCTCAGGGCAGTGTTCCCATCACTGCAGTAACATGCAGCACCCTGCAGAGCTTTCAATGAACTATTTTTGTTTGGCTGAAGAAAGCTTCTCAAAAGCTGTTTATCCAAACTATCATAAGTAGAGTAAAGCTGGGAGTTATGCAGTCTAAAAGGCCATTGTAGCACTTATAACACAGGGCAAAATCTCACTTACAGGCATTCTCTGTCTTTCAAGGCCACTTAGTCAACATTTTACAGTCCCAATGTAAGTGGTTCACCTAGAGTATAAATTAATGTTTTTTTTTCATCCTTCTTTTCATGTGGCTATTTAATTCTGGCACCATTTTTGTTGATGTGTTTTGCAAAGCTTCAAAGGCTCTTTGCTCCAAGGACTCGCAATACTGGATTATTAATATCAGAACTAGTGTTCCTGAAAATGAAGGTAACCCTGAGTAGCATAGAGCTTGGGAGCAGTAGTATTCACTGATAGTATTTCTATCTAATGAAAATGCGTTTGTTTATATAAGACATAAGATGCCCATTGTGTCAAGATGGATGGTTTGGCTCAGTGAAACTAAGTGTTGCGTATGTGATGACCTAATTTGTAAATTCCTGAGGCTAGCAGAAATCATATGACCTATTTCACATATATGAAGAGTCTGTTAAGCTTAATTTACTGTGGAGTGAACAGAGCACTTAACTTGTTATCTCCCTTTTTTCTTTTTAATATTAACTGTATTACTTATGACCTGGATTACTTTCTACTACCTGATTAGCTCACAGTCAAGAGCTCAAATGCTCCATCTGAAGTTAAGCATTGTAAATATTAACTGATAGATCTTTCCATTTGCAAAATAAATTTGGATGCTCCCTTGACATGGCAAAAAACTGGTAGACCAGCAGTGAGAAGCCAGAACTCTCAGTGCCATAACACCACCACGATAAATGGAAAGGGGGATAGCCTGAAGGTGAGCAATTACTCCGAAAAAAAAAGGCTTTCAAATAAATTGATGGCAAGAAGAGGTTAAAAACTGCAAAAAGAGAAACCAGTCCCACGGTATTAATAGAATGTACAGGAAACTGTACATTCTTTGTAAGTGAATATGACTACGCCAAATACCTACCTTAATCATACACTTCCTGTTCAACTGGAAAACAGTCTAACAGACTCCTAACAGTGGCAAATGTTATAGATGTTAATTATACTTACTGTCGAGGAGACTATTCTGATGGACTATTTGTTTTTTACCTAAAAAAAATGCCATTTTGAGTCTATTAAAACTGCTTGTATACCTACATCACATTCCTCAGACTACACAATACATGTGAATACTGATACATGATACAGGGAGACAATAACTGGCTGGGCCAGTGTCCTCTGTGTGTGTCTGTGTCTTTGGGATACATGTTCAGCTTCACCACTGGTTGAACCAGCAAAGGGAAAAGCAGCAGCAGTGTCCCCAGCCTGAACAGAGAGCCCAGGTTTCCACACACCCAGCTGGGCTCCAGCAGCTGGGCAGGAGGGTGCTGGGCTGGGGTGACTGGAGGAAGTGGCTATGCTCCTAACGTCACTTAGTATAGACAAATGTAAGGTTATATTTCCCAATATTTCCCAAAGGAAAAGGAAATTAAACATATTTAAAAAGGTTGATTTTCTGCTGCAGCTGCACAGGAAAGCAGGATACTATCATCTGCTGACTACCCAAAAGAAAGACAGTATGGTTTTGTCAAGGCAACCTTTATTATTGTCCACGATGGTTCACACGTAATGTCCTGAATGTTTGTTGGTTCCATGGCACTTTGCATGTCAGCAGGGCCTGATGGCTGGGCTTTCATGGGCAAACACCTCTGCCCATGACAAATTCTGGCTCAGATGTCTTCCTCTATTCTCAAGCTATTCTCCAGTGCTATGAAGTATTTCAGTGCAAGAAGACTGGTTCAATCATATGAACAGGTATTTCCACATATTTTTAAAGGTGTTAAAAAATTGATGGGATGTAAAATCAAAGATACTAAACTGGCTTGAGAACGGCAGTGAGATTTTGGAAAATGACTGAGAAAATTGGAAAATTCCAGTCTGATTACAGTAATTTCTGGTAAAGAAAACACTGCACATTGAATATGAAAAACCTTTAAATCTAGCTAAAGAAAGTATCAGTGAAATCGAATACATTCAAATGAGAAATAAAGTACACACTGCTAACAATGGAGGAAATAAAACAGCAATCCAGTGCATATGAATTGATGGATTCAGTTAATCTCTTGAAGTTTTCACAGTAAGACTCAGTCCTTTTCTCATCAATAGCACTGATGGAGCATTTTGGTGAAGTAGTCTGTGAAATGCATGAAGTCACAGCATAAAAGAAAACCTTGCTTTTAAGCTGTAGGGCTTTGTTTACCTGCAGATTTCCTGGTGGCTGAATTGTGGAAAATGGGAGGAAAGAAAAGCAAGATAAAACAAATACATATCAAAGGAGATTAACAAGATAAAAGGGTACTAGCAGAACAGAAAAATAGTAAAAAATGTGAAACGAAGTGAATAGGCAAATTATATTGCCAGATGCCTTTTTCATAGTAAATTAGAGTTTGTTTTCATAACTAATATTGGGCATCTTTCTAAGAGTCTTTTTCTGAATCTGCTACTTGTTAGCAGGAATCAATTATAACAGATACTGGCAGCAATGTGCTCAAGTGGCTCAACTTGTCAGCGTGGCAATTCTGTGGCTCTCAATGACACTATGCCCTTGCCAGTGCTGCTGTGGGAGCTGGGTGCAATGGGACCTTTGGAAAGGGTCGTTTCCCTTTTGTGTTGTCCATTGAAAGAGGCTGACTCCAATCAGAGGAGTCCCATCCTTCCCAGAAATTGCAGACAGATGTTATCAAGCTTGTCATGTTTCCATGCTTTATTCCTCACTCAGGTAATTTCTTCTGACTCAGAAGCCTCACACTAAGCAGCTGCCATTATAACTGCTGCTGGAGGGACTAGATACAAAGAAAGAAGAAAGCTACTTTTGAAGCAGATTCTGTGAGGAACTGTGGGCAAAATTATATTTTAATTGTTTTGGAAGCCCTAGTCTGCAAATATTTATTATAGGGGCATCTTGTGCATGGCAGTAAGAAAATTAAGGGAGACCTTAGTCCAGGAACAATAAAACAAAGCAAAGCTTCTAAGTATATATTAATGAATAATAAAACCAAAGTTATATCATTACTTGTACAGCTCTAATCTTGGTCTGCTTCAGTCCATTTGAACTATTCAGTTAGTTGTCAGCAGATGCAAGTTAAAACACCTCTTCAGATAATTCTTTCTTTATCCCACTCTGAGAGTGTTCAGACTAAAACCAACTTTGACAAATACTGTGCCATTCGATGGAACAATTCTCATATAAAGGCTTTGTTAAAACAAACAACTAACCCACCAATCAACACCCGTAAAGAAAACACTCTGGATTTAAAACACTTTTGAGGAAGTAACTGCTCTTTCTTTTATAGGTTGGTGGGTTTATTGTCACCTTCCTTATCACACCAGCAGAATGGGAATGTCCCACAGCATGGCTGAAGCCACGGCTTCCACACGACATTGTACACGGAGAGCTGCTCTGGGACAGGAGTCAGTGTCCTGCGATGCTCTTCTATGGCTCTTCCAATCTTCTTTATTACAGTGTCAAAGAGGGGCTCAGTGTCAGCTGACAGAGGTTTGGCTTCAGAAGGGTCTTGTGAGAGATCAAACAGCAACGGAGGGTCATGATGGGTCACACCTTCCCCAAAACACGGACAAAATCCCCTATCATAACAAGCCCCAGCCCCGAGAGGATGAAAGATGGGAGTCACATAGTGAGCCTTCCAGATGGCTCCACCTGTCAAGAAAAAAAGAAGACTTGCAATGATACTGGTGGTTATCACAAGGTATTAGAAGAGTGAATGTTTTTCTAGAGCTCATTTCTGGTTGTACTTCAGCTCTATACTTATTAATTGATATAATATTGCAATAGAGTTCATTTCTGGTTGCACTTTGGCTCTACACTTATTAGTTGATATAATATTGCAATTTCAGTTACAGTTAAGTGCAGCAAAAATAAAGCAATATTGTAAAATGATTTTTGACATTTTGAAATTTCTCCAAAATTTTGAGCAAGTATCAGTTAAAAAGCTTTGTTTTTTATGAAGACATGTAAAAAAAGCTTTGGAGTTTTCATGGCTTGCTTCCTTGTTAAGTGAGCAGAAGGACAAAGGGCTGAGTCAAGGACTTCTCCATAAGACAAATAGGGCATGGGCTCCCCAGGCCTTGCATTCATATGGGGGGGTGGATGAGACCCACCTGAGCTCCAATAGCCTGCCTAGCATGTCCTGTGCCTTGAAGCCATGATCAAACTCTTTGTGCCATACAATGCAGACAATGCTTAGTAAGTTCTTTACAACTTTACACCTGGAACTACTCAGAAAGCTGTGATCCCAGAAAAAAACATGTTAGACAAATGTGCCCTCCCATAAACAGAACCTAATTCTTGGAAAAGAAGTTCTGTACTCACTGTCCTTCTGATGCCACCTTGCAGCATGTAAGTGAATGCCACAGTAATGAAACAGGAACTCATGCTCTGAGTGCTCAACCATTCCTCGCAGTAAAGGCATCAGATCCCGGCCGTCAATTACCCTAACAGAAAAAATGGAGACCATCAGACTGATGTAAGCTGTACAGGACTGTGTTCTTTCAGCATATCTCTTGCTGGAACTGGGAACTCTGAATGAGGAAAATGCTTGTAGAAGATTGCAGGTAGATGGTGAATCTCAAATGCAGAGAAGAGGTGACTGGGCTCTGGTGACATTTATGAGTCTAGAAAAGGAGCAGCAGTGGAAAACAAAAATGTCAGACTCTTAGAATGTGTTTCCAAACTCAATTTTCCATTGTTATGGAGTGAAGGAAGAATAAAGCCATGGGTTTATACCTGTCTTGTGGTAGTACTCCTCCAGCCAGATTAACTACTGTAGGATAAATATCCATAAGGCTTGTAGGTTCATCGATAACTTTGCCTGCAGGTAAAACTCCTGGCCACCTAAATATCCCTGGGACACGGATTCCTCCTTCCCAGCCTCCCATAGCTTTTCCACCTTTTATTAAAAAAAGAAAAAAGTTAAAACCATTTATTTTAAAATAAAGAGAAATGTTACTGTGTTATCATAAGTTAATGTTACCTTTATGAGCTTTCCTTTTCTTCTTACCACTAAGCTACTTTTCTTCAGCATCAGTGGAAGTGTGTTCACTATATGAGACCCCTTCAGTGACCTCACACACTCTTTTCTATTGTTTTACATAGTGCCCCTTCAGAGCTCATTGTGAACAAATTTTTCAGGCACAAAGTCATTTCCAAGCCTAGTTCTCGTCTTTCTTTTACAATCCTATAACACACCTGTTGTAGCTAAAGCAAAGGTTCAGATGTAAGATACAACTAATATTTAGTGAGAAGTTACACAACCTTAATAAAAATTAACTTGTGATCAGTTGCCTCCGGAGGAAATGACAGTTTGAGAATTCATGCTTATAAAGAACACCTGCACAGGCTAGAATTGCCCACATTTTTAAATGCCTAATTAGAATGAGACAGATTTGCTTCACAATGATAAAACACTATTACTCCTTGAGCGTACAGTCTTACCTAAGCTTTAGGGGTGTCCTGAATACTTTACTAGTTGTCGCAGGGTTGTCAGCAAACCTGACAGCTCTTACCTCTGTATATTCCATTCCAGCCACCCAGTTGTCTTTGGCCTTCTTGTCTTTCCAGCCACCCACCATGATCAGAGGCAAAGTAAACTAGTGTAGTATTTTTCAAGCCTTCCTTGTCAATAACATCTAGAACCTGGCCTGTAAACACAGGAACATGTAAGTATTAAAATGTAAAAATATCACTTACACTGAATAAATTTTAGCCTCTGAATTGTAAACATTCATCAATGTAATTTTTCATCTATGTAGGGATGGTCACTGTTTAAAAGAAGAGCAATGAGAAATGAGGAAGAAATGTCATGTAAATTATGATGTCTAGGCCACAGTCAGTATTTGTATGAAATTACTGGATGGATGTAATCCAGTTCTTTCCATATGTGTACCTGATTCTTATACCTTTTGCAAATGTGGCTACTTTTCCTCTGCCATGACTGGGTGATAAATAATTCTCCTTCCCCTTCATTAACCAGGCTGAAAAATAACATGAATCTAATTTCTGGGGGCATGCCAATTAATATTTGGGAACATTTCTGGATTTATGAATGGGGCTAAAAAATATTCACTGTGCTCCTGAATGCAGCAGTCACAGAGAAATAGCAAGGTGGTTTGCACATAGATTTAATTCACTTGACAGTTTCATCACGTTATGATGTGTCCTACTTAGAAACAGGTAGACATAAGAGGCTGAAATTCCCTGATCTTTAATAATCACAGAAAACTAAATAATTCTTATTTATCTAGTAAGAAAAGCAAGAATGCTTTTTGACAGGAGCCAAGGGGACATGGCTGTAAATATGGGGATATGGTTAAAACTGGTAAACACTAGACTGAAAAAACTGAATGAACAGAAAGACTCATTTGGTCCAAAACTGGAGAAAATAAAAAGCCAACTCTGTGAGCCAACAGCGCTCATACAAGATTGACAGATGTTCATGAAAACTTTAGGACTTTTTTCCTATTTGTTTTTAATCTCTTCCTCATTCTTTTAATAACAATATTTTTATTATATATTCAGACCAAGGTATTAGGTAGTTGAAGACATCATTATTTGGTATGGTGACTTACCCACCATCCAGTCCATTTCCTCTACATTGTCTCCATATAAACCATGGCTGCTCCTCCCAAGAAACTTCTCTGTGGTGATGAGCGGGGTGTGCGAATGTAAAAAGGAAAGAAAAAGGAGGAATGGCTTGTGCTTATTTCTAAAAAACAGAAATCAATTCAATCAACACTTTGTTATTTGTGTAATCAAGTAACTGGCAGCTCATCAGTGGGTTTGCCAGGCAAACCACCACTTCCAGAAGAACATGAGCTAAGGAGATTAGAATTTCTAATGAAACTGTACATATATACATAACTTTGCTGATAATAATATCTCCATATACTGGGTGAGAATAAAAGATTTTGTTTCATAAATAATTTTGACATTTACTTGTATTTCATCAAATTTTTAAAAATTAAAGCCCTTTGTTATTAGGGAGGAAGGTTCGCAATACATACAGAGGTCAATCGTAATGGAAAATGGTATTATGATTTGCATATATACACATTTCAAAAATCACTTCGGAAACATTTGACTTTGTAAGAAATTAAACCACAATGATTAAGATCTGGCTGTTAAAATAATGTTTAGCTGATATAAAATGACCGTCTTTTTTCCCTGAATCATAGCCAAAAAATTCCAGATTGAAGCTCCACTTTCTGCCATTGCAAACCTCAACTGTGCTACTGAAACAAAGGGAGTAAGTTCATCTCCTGCCAGCTGGTCCCTACAAAGCAGTCCATATGATAAGGCTACTTCACAGCTCTAATTCTCCTTCCCCAACCCACACATGTATTTCTGCCATCAGCTCTTATCACTTCAAGCTGCAATGTTGGTCTCATTGACAGAAATACATATTTACTCAATATAGCCTAGAAATATTCAATCCAACCCCTGGAAATTTGGAAATGTTATCAGCTTTAGTGAAGCTGTGAATAACAGACATCCTTAAAGCATAGTTTTTTTTTTTGTTTGTTTGTTTAATAGCATTATATCATTATAACATTACTAATAATTAATAGGCACAATAGTACTTATTATATAATATTACAAAATTATAAAAGACTTCACATGGGAAAGTGCCATTTAACAGCTGACATGCAAGAACCAGAAAAATTGTGATCAGTGGAAACATACTTTACCTTTCAATGAATGAAATGGACTCTTTCAAGATATGGGATGTTGTCCTGTCTGTCACCATTGGCTGCTCAGTAACTTCATGGTTTCTCATCATAATGCAGTTCCAGTATCGTACAAATCCATAACTGGAGAACCAGCATATGAAGAACAGGAGACTAAACCCAGCAAGGCAGGTGAGCATTTTCCAGCTGACTGAAATCAAGCCCGTCAGTCTTCCCAGAGCAGCGGTGAGTATAGCTAGGCCAATCATCTCAGTGGAAAACCAGAGCTTCCTTCTAAAGGCTCTGTCCATCTCTGGTGTTTCTGTTGGTTGGCAGTCACTTATTAGTGTAAAAGGCATACCATAAAAGTAGTCAAACCCGTGTTTTAAAGGATGATGACAATGGTCAGTGCGGGATTCACAGTTAACGCCTTGATGCCACTTCCCTGAAAATATAGGTTATTGAAATGTAAAGAGATAATATTAAAAAATGTGCTTTTCCTCATACAATACATTTCTGAAAAAAAAAATAAAATTCCCTACCTGTGATAACTTCTTCATCCTACACATATACACTCTGTAGTAATATAATGGGATACATGTTATGACTGATGAAAGTGAACTCCTACAGATTGTAAATTGGTGCTCTATATACATATTCATGCCCTCTAGCTAGCATAAAAGCCTGGACTATAAAGGGAATCATAAACTGGGGAAAATCCAGGTATTCAGAACCGAGCACAAATGTATGGCCTTCCTGGAGATTTGTCAGGTATGTAATAGGAGGAAGAAGTCCTTTGGTAAGCACAGGACAAAATAACATTGCTCTATTATTAATGTACTATGCAGGCTTGTTTCTGGAAAGTTTTGAATAACTTAATGTCAGGACTATGGCAACAATCAGCAATGTGTTGGTGGCAGACTAATAAGGGAAGCTAGGGATAGTATATTCAAGCAACTGGCAGGTCAGCAGTGGGATTGCCAGGCAAATCACCAGTTTCAGAAGACCATGAGCTCAGGAGATAAGGATTTCTTATGAAACTGTACTTATGTACATAGACTTTGTTTATAATAGTATCTCCATACATTAGGTAAGAATAAAATATTTGTTTTGTGAATATTTCTGTCATTTACTTGTATTTCCTTACATTTTTAAAAGTTAAAGCCACCTTCTTTTAAATCCTGAAGTCTTCATATATCAAAAGGAGCATCTCCTGACCTTTTGAGATACAGTTTGTTCTTTATTATGAACATATGTCTGCTATTATGATGAATGGCATATAAAAACCATGCTTTTGCTTCACCTCCTGTCTATTCTAATAGACTGGTTAAGCACTTATATGGAGACGTAACAAATTGGCTCATCTGACTTAAACACTGAGGCTTGTGAATATCTGAATCAGGTGACCAAATCTACCTCTTATCAGAGAGATGAGTTTAATTGCATTTTATGATCTCTGATGTAAAGTGGGTCTTGAATACCAGATCTATAGACAAAAATGAACATTTGGAATTTTACTTGAAAACTGATTTGCAACTAATTAATATTGTGGACTAAGGAACTGTGCACTTACAGAAGGATATTAACCTAAACAAGCCATTCACACACACACAGTATGCTAGAGATTGGAAGGGACCTCGAAAGATCATCTAGTCCAATCTCCTTGCCGGAGCAGGAACACCTACATAATGTTATACAGGAATGTGTCCAGACGGGTTTTGAATGTCTCCAGGGAAGGAGACTCCACAACCTCCCTGGGCAGCCTGTTCCAGTGTTCTGTCACCCTCACTGAGAAGAAGTTTCTTCTCAAGTTTAAGTGGAACCTCTTGTGTTCCAGTTTGTACCCATTACCCCTTGTCCTATCATTGTTTGCCACTGAGTAGAGCCTGGCTCCATCCTCGTGACACTCCCCCTTTATATATTTATAGACACTTATAAGGTCACCCCTCAGTCTCCTCTTCTCCAAACTATAGAGACCCAGCTCCCTCAGTCTTTCCTCATAAGGGAGATGTTCCACTCCCTTAATCATCTTAGTTGCCCTGCGCTGGACTCTCTCCAGCAGCTCCCTGTCCTTCTTCAACTGAGGGGCCCAGAACTGGACACAATATTCCAGATGCAGTCTCACCAGGTCAGAGTAGAGGGGAAGGAGGACCTCTCTCGACCTACTAACCACCCCCCTTCTAATACACCCCAGGATGCCATTGGCCTTCTTGGCCACAAGGGCACAGTGTTGGCTCATGGTCACCCTGTCATCCACTAGGACCCCCAGGTCCCTCTCCCCTACACTGCTCTCTAACAGGTCGTTTCCCAACCTATACTGGAACCTGGAACCATTCACGATGTTACCAGTACATATACTAGCAGCCAACCCTGAGTAGGTTTCAATAGAATCTCAATGCATTACAGTAGGAGCAGAAAAAGCTACTTTAGAGGAAAAAAAATGCTGCTTTTTGGATATAAATAAAAAGGAAGAGTGAAAATTCCACTCTAGGTAAATGAATTGCTTTCAGCTAAAATTTCTGCTCAGATTACCCCTTCAAACATTTAAAGCCAGCTTTAGAATGAAACAGGTTTATAATCAACGCACAGATGCATTGGTCATAAATACAGGTGCAGCTAAAGTGTCGTTGGACTTCAGATGTACTCCAACACCTAAATCGCCAGCTGAGGTCGATAGAGGCTTCTGACATGCTACGAAAGTTGAACTCTCCAGAAGATGAACTAAATGTATAATTAAGATAAATTAATCTCTGAGGGCATATGCTACACAACATTGGTTTTCTGACCACAAAGACTGCAAAAAGTTTCCCTACAAAAAATTCTTATTATCACATCAAGCTGCAGGTTATTAATAGGGTTTAACTTTTAAACTGTTTGTGCTCAGAGCAAAACAATCACAAACTGTTCAGGTGAGACTATTTAGTACTCATTCAACTGTGGTGACGTAGGTAGATGTTGCATAAGATCTCTTGCTTCATGAATTGAATGTAAAGTTCTTATGCTTGGGTTTGTTGTTTTTTTTGCCACTTATCACTAGTGCTTTCCATCATCCCTTAGAGTGCAATTAAACAGAATCTGTCAATTGGGTTAAACTAAGTGATGTTTATATTATATTAGTGGTGTCTATAGTGTGGTTTTAGCTGAGATGCCTACAGGGAAAATGTCAGCCCATTTTGCTAGCTATCTTCCAGGAAGCATGCAGCACAACCTCCCTGCAGTGCAATTCCTTTGACAAAGTGGAGACAAATCTGATTGTTTTGCTAGTGTTAACATCTGAAACCAAGCTGAAGCACGTGGCTAATAGACATGGTCTTTTTTATAAGCTGATTAAAGCAACTAAAATTGTATCGGAACAAAACTAACATGGGAAGATTCCGTAATATAGAACCAAAAATTGTGGAGGCCTTCATTTAGTGTTGTCCTTATGGTTTTAATTTATTCTGCTGAATGAATAAAAATCCATTTCTGCAGAGACTTCTATTAGCAAATTCAGTTTATTTGTGTAGCCAATATTTTTATGTGTCAGACATAGATTTTGGATATTGATATTTAGATGCTCAGAGAGGTAGGGCAAATAGCTGAAAATTCATCTCAGGAATACTTGTGTTTTATCAGTTTGTGGAACTATGTGACGTGTAAGATGAACAATTTTTTAAAATTGGAACATGACCAAAAGTTACAACTGTATAAGAAAAAAAGAAGTCCTATAAAATCTAAAGTAAAATGGCATTTGTATTAATGGTGAAGGAGGCAGTGTTTTACGGGCTGTGCTGAAATCTTGGTGAACTGTAGTGGCATGCTGTAAGTAAAAAAAAAACAAAACTGTTTCTGTGTTTGAAAGGACAAATGCTGTGACATTATGAACTGTCTGTTGGTTTAAGTAGCAGCTGTTCTGTTTTGTTGTGAATCTGCTCTGAGCTGTGTAAAGCATCACCATGCATATTTAAATGGCACTAATGTGTTTTTTTTTAATCACATTGTATTGGAATAGTTACCATATTCCTGATAGAAAAATACGGAAGAAATATTAACATATTTTCTATTATTTATTTTAACAACCACAGCTGTGCCTGAAGGCAGGTCAGCAGTAAAAATTGTTTTTATCAGATGCCTGTTCTTTCAAGAGAAATTGTTTTTGTTCAGGGTTTCATCTTACAGGATATTCTTAAATCAGGAAATAATAATATTACAACTGAGGTATGAACAGTTGCTTACTATAACAAATAGTTTGTGTGAGATGTGCAGGACATTTTAGGCTGTCTTCAGGAGTGTTCCCATACCTATCAGTCCTGTGCTGTAGCCTTGCTGCTGCAGTATTCTGGCAAAAGTGGTTTCATTTGGAGGAAGCCCTCCTGAGCCACCATTCCAAAAGATAACACGGTAATTGTTTACAGCATCCATCCCTAAAAATACAGTAATAAAAATCTTAGTAAGAGTAGCTGGTAGAGTATTTTTATGAAATACAATTTCTTGTTTCCTGGTTTTAGTGATATTATAGTGTTAAATATTTATCCTAATGCTGTTTGTTTGGAGAAATGAATCTAGGACTCTAGTCAAGATTAAGGAATTAAGACTCCCCATTATGTAACACCTGTTCTTCTTTGTGTCTCATACTGAGACATTATATTTCATTGTATTTAGAATGGCCCAGTAGCATCCAGGCTGTGTGACCTGCACTTAATTATCATGACTGTCTGCACAGGGAGGAGGGTAGGGAGACTTCAGCCCTCCATCAGCCTCAAACTCCAGCTTGCAGAAGGCTGCATGGGAATTCAGGTTTTCCCTGTTCAGTGGCATGGCTGTTAAGTGACTTCTGAAACCCACAGGGTAGCTAGGTAGCACTGCAATCTTCTCCTCCCCTGCAGGTTTACGCCCTGCCATTGAGCATTATATAGTGGCATGACCCCATCGTATAAGACTATGTGAAGTACAATCTGTCATGGAAGTGTTGAATATCTCTGGCCCCATTGTTATAGTGGGAGGGAGTCTGTACAAGCTCATGTGCATTTTCAAGCTATCTATCTCAGTGGGAGCTGTCATGACAAAAGCAGGATGACATGTCAGCTTTAAAATGCCTTGTGAAGGAATGGATTGAAGATCATTTGCAACAGAACAAATGTTAGAGAGTTGCTGTTAGAAACATGCAGAGTTTTTTATTTTTCATACCTCTTCATCTCAGGGATGTGGTTTGACAGGATAGTATTTTTACTCAGAAACAGAACTGGGAAAAATAATATAGCTGTCAAACTGTTATTTCATAGGACGGATGAATTCTGACACATAGGTAACAAAACTTTCTTGTAAATTACTCGTTCTGCACCTTGACTGGAGGGAATGGACACACATCTACATACATCTAAGCTGCTCCCTGCAGGGCCAAGCCATTTCTGATATATGATGAGAAGTCATCCATGACAAATTAATGTAGCTAGTGCTTTAGAAATGTATTATTATTGTTCATATTCTCTGCCATGACTGTTTTTGAATGTAACAATTTGTGTTAACTCCATTCTGCTTGCAATCTGTGCAATAGAGCACCAACAGGCAACTGAAGTTGTGAGCTGAGGGGACCAAGCTGCTCTGCAGGGCTGGTTATTCTGGGCTCTGCTTCCTCCAGGTCGATTCATTGTACCCCATAAATATAGTTGTCACCTCAAAGGTACTAATCCTAACTGGCGTGTTTTTGTGTGCCTCAGGGAGGGATGACATATCTGTGGCACCCCTTCTATTTGCATACCCTCATTTCTTTTGTTCCCAATGTATGACATTGTTTCTTTCAGCAATAAAGCAATGCTTAAAGGCTGCTTGGTTTTGCAAGGCAAACCTGATCGGAGGGGATATCTGCCAGTGAGGAAAGCTGCTCTGCTGGGGGTGCAAAGTGGAGCTGCAGCAATATGTTGTGTCAGTTTCACTCCTTCCTTTGCCAGGCGATCAATGTTTGGGGTCCTAAAAATGAAACCAACACTGTCAGAGAGTCCTTGAGGGAATAAAGATGAGGAATAATATACTTATCCTCATTTTGCGAAGCTTATTCTGTTTCTAGATGGCTAGGAAATATTTTTCTTATTTCATTTTAAATTCTTCAAGTGATGGGAAAATATTTCTTTTCTTTCTTCATTAACAATTTCTACCTGGATACATTTCAAGCCAATCAATCATTCCTTCATGTTTCCTGAGCCCTGTGAAGGGCCTTGCAGAAATATACCTCACTGCTCCTGAAAAGAAAACTCATGTCTTGAGCATGTTGCTGTGCTGAAGTGGAGGCCCGGCCATGCAGAGCCCCATCAGCTACCTGTGATTATCAGCTATCTGTCAGAAATTTTCCAGCTGGTACCAACTAGGGTGAGATTCTGAGTACTTTGCTGGCTGAGGGTAGTGATTGTACCAAAGAAGAGACAAGTTGGTAGGAAGCCAGGAGGCAATACCACGACATGATTTTCAAAACCAAGGCAAACTCTATGTCCTTGGGTCTGAAAAGAGAAATATTTGCTAGTAACATAGCTTGTTAAAGTGGTTTATACTGTATTTTGATTGGAGACTGGGAAAGAATGGCAGAATAAAGTTAAATGAGGTACTGAGGCCTGATATGTTGAAGGAGGGATAACATTTCTGTCTTTGGGCACGTGCAAGAGCACAGCTATTTCTCAATGTCAGGCAATTAAAAAATACACAAGAACAGTTGACATACGCCCACAGTAAAGCAGCTCTGGAGAGAAAAGCTGGCCCTGGGAATACTCTCTAGGCTGTGAGATAATCCTGGTAGTGCTCTAAATTTACCATTAATAGCACCCATGGGAAACCCTCTGATTCCTCCAGGAAATGAACTTGAAGACAGCTTGAATAGATGATGATGTCAACCAGAGGCAAAGAATTGCAGCCCTATGTTAAATAACACACCAACTCTGTTCCCTGTTATGCTTAGTTTCCTTACCTGATGGTATCATTCCCATAGCAACCTACATCCCCTATGCCAAGATCATCAGCCATGAGCAGGACAATATTTGGCTGTGTGATGATGGAAAGCTGTGCAACTTGAGTCTGCAGAAGTAGACCGAATATCAGGGATCTGATCAGGGATGTCCTGAAACAGGAGAAAGAAACAAGCCGATGACCTGGCCACTCCCCAGTACTACTGCATGCGGCTGAACACCTTCCTGCATGAGCTTGGCTGCAGACCAGATCACTCTCTGTCCAGGTGCAGAAGTGTTAAGTTTTAATCATTGACCCAAACAGTTTTCATGAAAAGAAAAATGTCAGGACTATAACTTTAAAAACCTGCTTTTCTGATTCTCACACTCTGTCTTGGGAATTTACATGTGACACAAGACGTATACATGTTGTTGCTTTAGTGGCTTGGGGTGTTTTTTAGGAGTTGGTCTGGGAAGCTGAGAATGGAATCAGCTTCCTCTGACATCCTTCTTTCCCAGACTGGAACCTTTGTGTTATGAAAAAGTTATGAATAAGAAAATAACACAACCAAACAAACAAAAATAACATTGTGAGTATACTTTATAGATAACACTACTTTTTTATAATACAATATTATGTCATTATTAAACTTTGCTCACTTTAGATCTAAGTACATAGCAATAAATCATGAACTTTTTTCTTACCAGCAAAATGTTAGTTGCCAAATCATTTCTGCATTTGGAGTGTTCAGATCCCGGAAAGCCAAAAGAGAGAGCACCTTATCATGTTTGTATCTGACTAGTAGTCGCTGCAATAAAAATGGATAAAAATCTTAATCAAAGCCTATCAACATTCTCTGTTTTATTTATTTCAGTGCATCGTAGATCATACCCTAAAAGAAGAAGGGTAAAGGCAGTAGAGAAGTTTATCTTAAAATAGTAAAATAATTCTCTTTTCTTACACGACTCAGCCATATGAAAAATGCTTACTGTTCAGAAAGGGAGAGAAGAGCTTTATAAATCCAGTCCTCAATATAATTCAATTTTCTGTAATCACAGAGAGAGTAGCAGACTGCTGCTTATTCACGTGCCAAGTTTCCTTTCAGGCTTTTAAGAGTTATCTTTAGTTGCAGGAATTCTAGTCATCCTCTTCCAACAATGACATTTTCTTGGAACACATTGAATCTGTGACCTCTTGTTGTTTGAGCTGAGCCTTTTCCTTCTTTGTATGTGTCAGATTTTGGAGTGTGATTCTCCTTTCCCCCTCTCTGCACAGCTTTCTGCAAGGGTTTCTCTGGGGATTTCTCTTACTGGCAGGGTGAGACAACTGTTTAAAGGCTCTCAAGAGTGGGCCAAATGCCCTTAGTTCAAAGGCTTTAAAATAGACTGCTTTCAAATTTATCCCTTATCTGATTAAACTGCCCCAAGAGTCCCAATTTCATAAATTATGTTGGGTTTACATTTTTGAAATGATAGTATTTTGCAGCTTAGTTAATATCCATAGTTATCACATTTTTTTTTCATCAATACTGCAAGCCTCAATGGGAAAATTTAAATTTCTATGCTTAGGAAATTGGCATCCAAACAGCTCTAAACACTTAATTATGAACACCAATGCTGATGCAGCATCACTGTTTACAGAGACATTCAGTTTCCTGCATTTAGATTTGTGCTTTTGCTGCATCCTAAGTAGGTATAGGAAAGATACTGGAGGACACCTGAGCTGTTGTTTACATCCTATGTACTCCAAAAAAGCTGAAATAAATGGGAGTTGGAAATATTAAAATTCAATTCCGTAGTTGGTTGTCACTAACTGACTGCACTTCACAGTAGTGATACACTGATGCAAAGCACAGCCTGGAGCTCAAGGCTGAGCTTCCTCAGAAGCTGCCTGTAGTATAGAAAAAACAACTGACATTATCACTGTCAAGCCATTTCCTTAGTGAAAGGTAATGGGAATCCAGTCAGAGAAACTTTAGCAGAGAAACCCTGGTGGGAGCAAGAGGGGCAGTGAAAGCAGCTTGCCCTGTTCCCTTGCTGAGAAGCTGGGGGGAGCCCAGCTTCCCACACAGCCATACAGCTCCTTGCTTGAGCCCTGGCAGCTGGGACAGCAGCAAGCATCTGCCTGATTCACTCACAAGCAGTTTAGAGGATGCCTCTTTGGGACCACTTTTGCCTAAGTGGCACTTAAGGCATGCTGCAAGCAGAGTCCCCTTTCTTATCTGAACTGAATTCAGCTTCAGCTTAAAGCAAAACTCTTTTCTCCCTCTCCCATTATTTAATTCTTCCATAGCAATTTAGATTTTATCCCTTTCTTCATCCATTTTAATGATTCGGGGGGTATAGCTTGCATATCTTTCATATTTTGCTAACTCTTTTCCTTTACTAACAGGAATGTTTTAGTCTGTCATTACTTTTCTATCAAATACTTAAAAGATACTGAAATCTCCGTTCAAGCCAGTTTCCATGAGATAAAATATTCATCATTTTAGATGCACTCAGATACACTTTTCACAAGACTAGTACCAACTGTTCAGTCTGTGAAAATGTCTTTTAAAAAAACATATTTTGTAGACTTGATATAGATAAAATAAAAGCCACACTCATTATGACAAATTGCTGCAACTCTCACTTTATACATAGGCTTGTATGAAAGTAATGTTATTGTAACCAAAAATACCTTTTAAAAAGTTTCTCAAGATATTTTTATCTACAGAGCCAAAAAAATAAAGCATTTTCCAAATGCCCACTAAAATTTTCCTGTGCATTCCCAACAGAGTAAGGGAGGAATACTGTACCTGGTTAAGTTATGCTCAAAGCAGGCAGCTGATAATCTGGAGGGTGAACTTATTTTCAGTTGATTTAAAACTATTCCAAGTATTCCAGCACAACAACTGCTGCTACAGCACAGGGTCTAACATCTGTTGTTGAAGGCATTCCTTAAATCTGCCCTAGCTGTTCATGCGCAGTCTGCACAGGAAAGTCATGTTACACCAGAGCTTGCAAGCAGCTGGGTGTTCTAATGTATCCTGGAGTTCCTAAAGCTGTGCTTCCCACTGCCGTTTGCACAATGCGACTTTCATACGCCCAGTGAGGGCCAGGCTGGGGAGCATCACAGATGTAGCTAAAACACTTTCTGTCCAACCACTGTTTTCTCAAGGGGAAGGAAGGACCTCCTTCAAGTCTGAGACACTCCCATGAAAGGCACTATAAATAACAGCTTCCTTTAAAGCTCCCCAGTTTTCCAACGCAGAAACAGAAAATCACTGTACTTACAAAGCAGCAATTCTTTGCCTATAGAAAAAAAAATGAGCAAATATCTTCACTTCATGGCAGCCCCGAGTGCCTACAGTGATGGCGAGGTTATCTCTGCACACACAGTAAGAAACTGTTTTAGGATGTGGGGAGGAAATGCCAGCAAGAGACCTGAATTCGTTGTTCCTGAAAATTAGTCATTTGGCTTCACTTGTGAGGGCTGTCTTTTTTTTATTCATCACTCAAAGGGACAAATTAAGACTACATGCTGGCTAATACTTGCTTTCTTGATTTTTTCTTTGAGTCCTGTTGTACCAAGTGTTTTGGGACAGCATGAAATACTATCAAACAGAAATCTTGTTTTATTGACAGAGAATTTCCTGTTTTCATATCTTAAAAGAGAAGAGAGATGTTGTGAGTTGGTGGTTCATCACGAATTGCAGTGCTCAGGTTGGTTTGCTAGTGGAGGTAAATTAGAGTACCATAGGTGATCCCTCCTCTGCTGTCTCCCACCCCAACGTTTCCATGCTGGAGTGGTTACACAGAGGAGAAACCATGTGTCTGGTTTTACTTCTCTCAGTGCTTGCTTCATTATCCCCATCCATGTTACAGCATCGCAGTCTGTACCTTTCCAGTTCTTAGTTGTGCATTTAGCCCTTCAGGATTCTTTAAGGTATATGGGATTTCTTGTTGTCTGATGCCCTCTGCTGCTGTGTATTTTCTAATAAGAAAGCACCTTCTTTCTGAGGTGCTGGGGTTTCTGTCTGGGTTGCAATCAGTTCCCGCCAGGTTCTTGCAGATGGGGTCTGTGACACAGCATTCGTATTCTTGTGTTTCTCTAGGACTTCTTGCAAATTCTATGATATTTTTACCAGAGAACCACAAACTGTAATTTCTATGTCATTACCAAATTTAGAGTATAGCAGAAAATTTAATGCATGTGTACAGTTACAGCGCATGAACACTTCTTCGTTGTTTTGTACATAGCCTTCTTCTAGCACAGAGAGAGCCAGAGCAGATCACCACTGTAAATAGTACTCGTTGAAATCTGGCTTCTGGGAATTACCTCATCGGCACATTTATGGTGCAATGAGGATAAAGGAAGGAGGGTAGTGCCTGTGGTCTAAAGACTTTCCTCTTACACTGACAACTTGTGCTTATTTTGGCATTTGACCTTTGAAGGAGGGAAAAGTGAACAGCCTCTCACTGACTCCACTTAAAGACAGCATTTTTAAAGGGACTAGGCAAAGCTAATTCTGTTCCCACTAACTGGGTCTACCTGTTTTTCTGTGTGGAAATCTTTAGAAAGTCTGTATTTGTTTAGGATGTGGAATGGATGGGGAATTTTGCAGAAGTGCTTGTCTTTCTCCTCATTTTCTTTGAACTGAGTACTGGAAGAAGTAGTACTGACCCTATTAAAGTACTTCAACATCTAAGAACAGAAGGCCCAAGTCAGCAGCAGTTTAATACTAGCATATGATGATTAAAAGGCTCCCTCTAGTGACTAATTTTAAATCTTATTATTTGTAATTTGATTCACACTCTACCTTTCTAAAAGTCTTTGCACATTGATCTAAAACGGTTTTATTTCTTTGAACTCTGACTTATACTAGATCTTCAAGGCCTGAATGTCCAGGAGCAGTTGCAGAGCCTTACCTGTTGTCCTGGAGCATGTAATAGAGGTTTGTGACACTGGCAAGGAACCTAGCTTGTGCACTCCAGGACTGCTCTGCAATGTTTGCCAAAGTGTGGTAAGTGGGGGTGAGTGGGAGAGTCACTTCCAAAGTGCATTCCTGGCCCAGAGTAAAGCAGTAGTTCAGATGCCCCAATTCCTGCTTAAGGCTCAACTTGGAAGGCTGCTGCTGACAGGTCTTAGAGAATGATACAGATTACCTGCACACCACCTAACCTCTCATAGAAATCTAAAAATCAGTGTATATTTCCATTAAAAAAAAAAAATTACTGTGTTGTCTAAGTACAATTCTAGCATGATAATTTATAAGATAATATAGTGGAAAACCACAAGCCAACAGTGTCACTAAATAAAGACTAGATAAGGCACTCAACAGGGTATCACAGATTTTCAATGTTTTCATAAACTTGAGTAGTATGAAGTCAGGAATGCCTTTGTGCTATTTTACTTCATTAAAGATTTTCAGGATGAAGTATAGGAGGCTTTAGTTTCTATTGCTTATTAATTAGTAATTAATAATAATGGTTATTAATAATTGGACATTATATAAATTTCTAGTAAAATAAACAGCCTAACAACTTGGAGTATTTCATATTCAGGCCATTTTTTCTGTCTACTGGAAAGTGAACATTGAAACCCATGACACAGGAAATGGAAGCCATATCGTAGACCAAATGTTGCATACAGATTGCATATACCTTGCAGGGTTCAGAACAACACTCATATTTGTCTGCAAACAGACCCAAAGGCAAAGTCAAAAAGACACCCTGGAGTACATTTTGGTAATGGTTATTGTTTTAGTTTTATGGACATGTTGCTCCTTGTTACTACAGTTCACAAGTTGACTTAAAACTCTCATCAGTATTCTTCTGGCAACTGCCATACGCTGCAGTTTTTGAGTTTAGCATTTCAAAAGCCATGACGTATTTTGATTTCAAGCCTTCTAATTGTAATTGTTACCACTAAAAAAAACAATGGAGATAAAAAAGGAGAACAGCGACTTGTAAATGCAGAGGATTAAAAATAGTTCTTGCTAAATCAAAGTCCCTTTTAATAGTAATTTTGTATTACAAACTTGCAGAAGAGTGCTTGTCTTTCAGAACTGGGGATCGCCTTCAGAGTAGATCCTCTTGCCTGTTTAAAATCACAAGTCACATAAATTGTCCATCGCAATTACAACAGTTGAGCACCCAAATGATCTCAGCACTGCAGAAAGGAGATGTGCAGGTTGATCACAGGGATATTGTTTGCAGTCTCATGGAACGCAGTTTTGCTCCAGAAATCAGCAGTGGGAACATTCCTGATAAAGCCACAATGAAACAGCTTTGCTGTGGAGGCTTACATAGAACAAATAATGGATTAGGAAGCCTGAAATATTTTTTTTTCCACATCTGTAGGCTCGGGAGGAAGTGAGTAAACAAACGTCAAAATACCCTTGGAATTTTAGCTTATACCTTACATGTTGTGATCTGGAATGCAAATACTATAACATCTGTAGCCTTATAAAAACACGGAGTACTACATTTTGCTCTCTATATACCAATTACCTATCAGTTTATGATGTTAAAGATTTAATTCCTTTCCCCCCATGTGAACATTTAATGTTAATATGTCTGGTTTTCCTACCCATTCCCTCCCTCTAGGCTTTTTGTGGTTTGTAATTAAGTACTGCAAGCCCTCCTTTTTAAGGGCCAGTGAATTAAATTCTACTGCTAGTGTAGCTTGAGGAAGGTCACCGCTACAAAATATGCCCACAAATGCAATTAGAAAGTTTCTTTTGCTCCTTGTATGTATGTCTATTGAGTCAATAAGAAATGTCTTCACATTGTGGATTCTCTTTAATTTTCTTGTTACAGAAGTTTAAGTAGTGACTTTACAGCTGGCATTTGTTTCAGCAGATTTTCAGAAGCAGAACTACAGTTCTCTTCTTCCATTTTGAAATAAACAAGTCTGTAGTACTTGGCAAAACATTTCCAGAGAAAATATACATGCCACATATTTACTAACAACAGCACTCATTTAAAAGTCTCTTTATTTTCAGTTTTATTTTAGAATTTACCAGCTTGGGTTTACCAATGAAGAGGATTATATTTCCCACAAACTGCAGACTTCCTTCCTTCCCATATTGTGTTACAGGCACTGGCCATTTTCCAAATATTAAACCAAGAGTTTCCCCTGTAGTTTTATAACTTAACTGCTCTCCAACCCAAAGTGCTCAGCAATACCAGGTACTTTATTTCTTTATGTTGCCAAAGTCAGCACTTGTCACTAGGGCTCTCCGAGTTTTTGATCATCAGCAATACAGGCTACATCTACATCCAGGTTTATCAAGAACCCAAAGATGCTCCACGCTCTTCATTTTCTCCCCTGCACACCCTTTCTCCTCTTGCCCCACCACAGACCAACAGCACTCCCTGACACAAGGCCCTTTGTTTCGGAGCCTTTACTAATCCTAAATGCTCACTTCGCTACAGAAGGCCTGGAAATTCATATGCCTCCTGAGCAGAGTTTTGACCTTTTCCAGCTCCTTCTTCCTACCCATGCCCCTGTGTGGGGACACCTTTTGGTGTTTCAGAGAGCTTGGCCTTCCCACCCAGCTGCTGTCCTGGTATTTGCTAAAATGCCTGGGACCTAACGCCCACTATGTCTGCTCACATTGGCTTCTGTCTCTGCCAGCACTGAGGCTGTGTTACATATGTCCTCTCTCTGCCTTCATCCATTCTCTTCCAGTCTGGTTAAGAAGGAAGAAAATTATGCTGTGGTTTGAAGCTCAACTTCTTTTAGATAGATATAAAAACACTGCAAATATCACTTTGAGGTCAGCAGACTCAGCTCTGACGTCTGCAGTTCCCCATGTCATTCCTGGAGACCACCCAGGAGGTTGCCCTCACTTTTGAAAGCAGAGACAGGATTTTGAACGACAGAACTATTCACTTCTGTCCTTTACAGACTCTGCATTAGGGAAATTACATCTTAATATCTAAGTTAATTTACATTTCTTATGCAGCTATGAGAGTGAATTATTTTTCATTTATTTCATTATGGTACATTTGTGTATCTATTTGTCTATGCATGCAAGAAAATTAAAAACATAATATTAACAGTGAAAACAGGTCCAAGATGCAGTAATTAGG